CTGGTGATGTTATGAATGTGAAATATGTTTATCCTAATTTTGCCTGTTGAATACTTAACATCCCAAACAGAAATATGATCAAATAAGGAGTCTCAGCTCCAGAAATACCACGCTAAACCAGGATTATTGATTCTGGTAACCTAAACCCCCAACTAAATTTTAAGTGAGAATTGCAACAAATAAAGACAGATGTTGCCAATAAACATTTAAACACTACTTAGATGTTTCAATAAATTTTACAGCAAATCCAATAAACCTGACCCCAAGAAATGTATCTTAATTACAATCTGTTTTACCACAAATGTTAAACTCTGTTTAGAATCTCAAACAACTCCTTGCAATGACAAACATTCTATGCAAATTTTAGCAAATGTAACTTCAGCAAATATTGGGAAATTTAATGAAGAGTAACCTCTCTTAGCCTTCCTTCTTGTAGATACAGGTGTTCAATAAGTAAGGTAATTGTTGAACAAATCACAGCAGTGATGGCCACGGAATTCCAGCTCAGAAACGTCCCCCATTCCCCATAAAGAGGGGGGAAAGAGGACACGTTGCACACAGGAAATGAATTCCTACCGCTCTGTCATGTTACCCTATTTGGCATTGGTGCTTCAACCAACCATTCAGCCAATGCTGTTGTGCAAGGTGTCCTGTTAAACCTAAGACTGGAAAAGGGGATTGCTATGACTTGTGAGCTGGTGGTGGTTTAGTCCATGCAGGTGTCCATCTGATCATGGATCCTGGTCCAGGGATACTGCTGCTTGCCAAGTAGCCTGATCAGCTTGACCAATATAAATCACAGTCTGAGTTTGCAAGCCCAGTTGGCTGCCTGATGTCTGGAGTGCTATTGATGACCAGATCCTTCAGTGACACACTGTGTACCATTTACAAGATGCTCTGATGCAACTTCCCAGGATTGATTTGAGAGCTTCTTCTAAATCCCATGACCTCTGCTGCCTGGATAAACAAAACAACAAGTGCAAAGGAGCACCAGCTCCTGCAAGTTCCCCTCCATGTCATATTTTATCCTGACTTGGAACTGTATCACCATTCCTTCACTGCTTTGTGGCTGATCAAACAATCCTTAACTCCACCTTCCTGATTTTTCCACATAATCCTTGATTCCCTTACTGATTAATCATCTATCTATCTCAGCCTCTAATTACTTAAATGACCTAGCCTCTGCAGTCAACTGGGTAAAGAATTCCACAGGTTCAATACACTCTCAGGGAAGAAACTGAAATCCATTCCACCCAAGCCAATCTTTGAGCCATTCATTGAACTCTTTGACTTAGTTACTCTCTGACAGTTAGCCGTGGTTTAGGTAGTAATCCCGAGATTATTTCCTTCGAGATTCTACTTTTAATTTAGCTCTTAACTATTCAAATTCTTTCATCAGAACTGTATCTCTTGTCATATCAATTGGTATCAATGTGGACAATGACAACTGTTGTCCCCTTCCACTCGAAGTTCCTCTCCAGCCCTGAGGAGATGTCCTTAATTCTCGCAGCCAACGCAGCCTTCAGAAGACATACTCATGGCTGCTGATAACAGTATCTATCTCTGTAATTATACTACCCCCATGATTCAATATTCCCAAATTGAATTGCTCCCTAAATCAGTGCCATGGTAAGTTTGGTCATTCTCCCTGCAATGTCCGTTCTTGAGCACAGAGCCTACAAGAAACTTGTAACAGTTGGGCAATTGCAGGGGCTTAGACTCTTTGAACTCCCTGAGCATAATCTTCTGGTATCCCTCCCCACGTCCCTGTCTCACCTGCAGTCATATCCTTCTGTCCTTGATCACAGACCAACTCTGAATTTAAAACATCTTGTTTAAAGGGTTTTGCTATCCTTAATAATTTAAAATCAATTATTTAATTATACTATTAATTATGTTGCTTTTCATATTATTTTGCTAACTTTCCATCTACTTTGTATGCTACTTTAAAACTTCGGTGTAAAATAGACCTTAACCACTTAACAGAAACTCACCAACTATCTAACTCCTTTCTCAGTCATCCAGCAAGAGCCAATTCCAAACTCTCAGATTTGAACTCACTTTCTTCTCTGCTGTAAAACATCCGAACTTTTATATTCCATTCCCCTTGGAATAAAGAACAATAAGCCATTTGTTCCTAATTACTGTTGCACCTTTTTGCTAAATTCTTGTGCTTCATGTACAGGGTATCAGGAAATCCAGTAACCTCTATACTTCAGATTTCTGCAACCTCTCTCCCATTAAATAACATACTGCTTTTCAATTCTTCTGCCAAGTTAGACAAGCTCACATGTTCTTACATGATATTCCATCTGCTAATTTTCTGCGTACTCATTTGACCTATCTGTATCCCTTTGCAGATTCCTGCTGTCCTTTTCATGACTTACCTATCTTTGTGGCAGCAGCAAACTTAATAACCGTACATTCAGTCCCGTCACCCGAGTCATTATTATAAATTGTGAATAGCTGGGGCCCTAGCACAGATCCCTGTAGTTCTTCACATGTTACAACTTACTGACCTGAAAATGATTTATTTGTGCCCACTCCCTGTTTCTTGTCAGCTAACCAATCCTTTATCTCTAAGATAGAGAGGTGCCTACTTACTTTGCATTTCCTAGCATGATATTTTCCCCATCCCAACATTCTCACTTTTATAGTTCCCTGCCTAATATCTTGAGACCTTAATAGTTATACTGCTAATTCCATTTGAATGACATGGATTTTGCTTTGATTTGTGGTCATTCTATGTTTGGATGTAACTAATTACAATGGAAGAAATTTGAGGAATTCAGAAATTATGAATTTTGTATTAAACTTTCCATGTTCCTACCTTCCTGGAATTTAAGTCTCTGATTTTGACAAACTAAACCTGAATAGCAATTTATCAAGATTTACCAATTCTGACAATTGACATAGTGGACAATCATGTTACTTCCCATTCTCAAGAAAGTCATCAATCTTGAAGTGCAGAAAAACATCACATTCTGAACCATGATTAGCAATTCTGGTTGTCATGTTCTGCATCAAGGTTACTGTTTCTGGTTACTTTTTTTTTTATTCACTTATGGGATCTGATTGTCAAAAGCTGGGTCAACATTTGATCCCTGTCCTTAGTAGCTCTTAAGAAGGTGATGGTGAACTGCCTTCTTGAACTGCTGCAGTCCATGTGCCGTAGGTAGACCCACAATGCCATTAGGGAGGGATTTCCAGGATTTTGACCCAGTGACGGTGAAGGAATTGCGATATATTTCCAAGTCAGGATGGTGAGTGTCTTGGAGGGAAACTTGCACATGATGGTGTTCCCATGTATCTGCTGCCCTTGTCCTTCTAGATGGAAGTGGTTGTGGGTTTGGAAGAAGCTCTCTAAGGATCTTTGGTGAAATTCTGCAGTGTATTTTGTGGCTGGTACTCACTGTTGCTACTGAGTGTTGGTAGTGGACGCTTGTGGATATGGCACCAAGCAAGTAGGTTGTTTTGTCTTGGAAGTTGTCAAGCTTTTTGAGTGTTGGGACTGCATCATCCAGGCAAGTAGGGACTATTCCACCATAGACTTGACTTGTGCGTGGAAGATGATAGACAGGCACTGGACAGTCAGGAGGTGAGTTAATTGCTTCCTAACATCTGACTGCTTTTGTAGCCACTGTGGTTATGTGGCAAGTCCAGTTGAGTTTTAATTAATGGTAAGCTCCAAGATGTTGATAGTGGGGGATTCTGTGATGGGAACGCCATTGAATGTCAAAAGGTGATGTTTAGATTGTCTCTCATTGGAGATGGTCATTGCCTGGCATTTGTGTGGTGTAAATGTTACTTGCCACTTTTCAGTCAGCATGGGTATTATCCAGATCTTGTTGCATTTGAATATGGACTGCTTCAGTGTCTGTGGAGTCAAGAATGGTGCTGAACATTATGCAATCACAGCAATATCCCCACTTCTGACCTGATGATGGAGGGAAGGTCATTGATGAAGCAGCTGAAGATGATTGGGCCTGGGGCACTACCCTGAGGAATTCCTGCAGAGACGTCCTGGTGCTGAGATGGCTGACCTCCAACAACCACAACCATCTTCCTATGTGCTAGGTGTGTGACTGCAATGAGTGAGAACCAGAGTTCAGAACTATTCTGCAGTAGGGACATGGATACCGTGGAAATGAGGATTACAGATTCTAGGTATTCATATTCTGAATGAGGATTACAGATTCTGAGTATTCACATTCTGAACTGGGATTACAAATTGTGGTTATCACATTCTGAACTGAGATCACAGCTTCTGGTCATTCGTAACGTGAATCAGGATAGCAGATTCTGAACCAGGATTGCAGATTCTGGGTAGTCACATTCTGAACTGGGATTACAGATTCCGGTCATTCACGTTCTGAACTGGGATTACAGATTCTGGGTATTCACATTCTGAACCTGTGTTACTGTGATAATGTGATATTGGGATTCCTGATCCGTAAGCGGAGGGTATGTGAAGGAAACATTGGTAGATTAGACGGTGAGACCGTCATCCTGAGAAGTTCGATCCTCTTGGTCGTCTCGTTTCGTTGTTGTTGTTTTTGCCCGGTGTGTCTGAGGGATCGTCTGTGGCAGCTTTTATACCTCGAACGGTGCTGGAAGCTGCTCAGGAGACTGCAGAAGAGCGGCGAGACCTGACAGGAATGTGCTATGAGCTGTGGCACGGCTCTTGTGTTGCCCGTGTGTGAGGAGGCAGCGTGTGTTAGCACATCAGCGCACTTGCGCCGGGCTGGCTGCTGAAGTAAGAGGTTTCCACAGCGTTCACTTCACATTTGAAGCATTTTTGGTGCGCTTCCTTTTGCGGAAGTGTCAGCGAGGGCAGTCCCTTTAGGCTTTGCACTTCGCCAACTCCAGTTCAGGCGGCTCTGAGGTGCCTTCGAAGTGCAAGGGACACGCCGTGGGCCGCCTGCGTTTTCAGGCGGTACACACACATCTATCTCCATCACTTCTGGTGGAGGAGGCAAGCAGCATGGAGGATGGGGACTGCTGCAGGTGCCGAGACGGTACGTTAACCCATGGTGGGATGTAGCTTCCACTCCAATAAAGGGAAACAAGCACATCTGGAGGTAAGCCTTAAGCTGCGAAGTACGCACAGACGCCAACGTTTTATGTAACAGAGTTGAGAGTCGATACATTGTAGCTGTCATTCGCAGACTTGCTATCTCAGGGCTCACAGCAGCAGTGTACAGCTGGAAATTGGGGAAATCACGGCCTGATCTGGATGGATGGAGGAATGCATGGATGAAGGAGCCCCTTATAACGTTGACGGATAACAGGACAGGATCTGGCCCCTTGTTTAGCACATGCCTGATCTAAGTTGTCCCGGTGAGAATCAGCTATCACTCTTGTGGGATGCCAGCTAGCTGCCTGGCAAAGGTGCATTCAATCTGGCTGTGCCCTCTGTGTTTTATTTGAGAGAGATAGGGAGGGAGGGGGGGAGGGTGTTTGGCCGGGATTACTGTATTGGATTGACTGCTGATAGATACAGGCTGAACGTGGTTTGAGGGCAGCTTGGGTTTGGTGTAGGATGTCAGATTTAATGATCGTTACCGCACCCTCCCTCCCCCCAAAAACACATACCCATCCTCTGTCTCTGCTGGCGCCGACCAGGGTCAGATTAAAGGGAAGTCCCTCTCTGGGGTTGGGACAGGTTATTTTTTTCCCCCTCTTTCTCTCTCACACACAGGCTGTCACCGCAGTGAGGTTGCATTTGGACAAGGCAACTCTTTTACCATCCGCCAAGACCGACTCTCTTCCCCCCGTGCCCCAGCAGGAGGCTGTTTGTAATCGAGATGAAGCTGCCTCACCAGCACAGCTCCAGCAACCCCACAGGTAGCTGCAGCGTTTTCTGGTTTTTAGTGAGTCAGGCAAGTAGGTCTCAAGCAGAGCATCTGGATAGTTAACTTAATTCCAGAGAATTCAGTGCGGACTGTTTAAAAAAACAAAAAAATCCAGGCTCCGTTTTAGTTCTGAATGTGTGTGTGTGTGTAGAGAAAGAAATTAGCAGGTAATATCTCCTTTTTTTTGCTGTAATATATATTTAATGCTATTTAAAGCCATGCTGTGGATTATATAACATAATCTGCACAGTTCGCCGTTATTTTTCAAGAAAGGAACCAGGCGACTCGCTTTAAGAGGAGCAGAAAGCTGGGCTCATCTGCTTACTTTCGAGAATCTATTTCCTTATTGAAAACTGATAAAATAAACATCTCATTTTGAATTCTCCCATCCTCCACGTTTTTTTTTTCTCTCTCTCTCAAATATCCTCACCACTGTGCTGTTTTTCTTTTGGCTATTCAGATCTCTTGGCTTTTCCGATTGGTTGCACTGTCGCCAATGCTCCCTCCCCAACACAACCACCACCAACATTTGCAATATTCACTTTGCAAATGAAATCCCTGTGTAGCTGTCAGAATACACATCAATACTTTGCAACCCAGTTCAATATCTGCAATGATATTCCCAATGTTTTATTTAAAATTAATTTTGAGTTGCAGTGTTTTGGATGTGTGTGTGTGTGAATGAGCAGATAGTTAAAGCAAATACAGATTGCTTTTCAGTGGCCTCGGTGACAGCTGTCGTGTTCATTCACTTCAGTTGCGCTCTTGTTTACCTCGGTCAAATATAGCGACTGCGCCACCGCGCCTTCCCTAAATAGGACAAGCAGAGTTTCCTTTAGCTGGGCGGTTCGTGGATGCTGGGGCGATTGGGGGCGGGCGGACGGGATGGGGGTGCAGGCTGTATACTCCAGGCCCTTTTCCTATCAGCCTTTCACCCCAAGTTACCAGAACCTAGTAGCCTGCATACCCCTGCCTGATACCCAACCACTGAGAGCAAGCGCCCCCTCCCCAAAGTGGCGCACTCTGTTATCATGCCTACGTGACCGTGTCAATTGTCCAGTGCCCCATGTGTCTCTCTTACTTACAATCTGCAGGGCCTGGTGAAGTTCCACTGTTGAGCTAGTCTCTGCACATTTTAATTTGCTCTGCTCTTTCAGTCACAGATTTTAAACTTCGGATGTGCTGGAGATTTTATCATGTTAATTTTTTTTCAATTAATGGTTATTATGTGTTCATTGCCAACAGTTTGTTGGGTTGGTTAAGTTTGTTCAAGACCTATTTGGCTTTGCTAAATCTGCAGAGTGGCTGTTGTTTGACACTTTATTTTCCCCTTAAAGGCCATTCCTGCAGATGAAGCAGTGATGCAGTGACGTTATAAGGCAACCTTGCCTGGTTGCATGGTTTCACATCACATTTGGGGATTGAACCCATGAGCTGGCAGTGAGTGTGCTCATGCTTGCACCTCCCAGTCAGTATTGCACCATTTTAGATCAGGTTATTCTATTTATTTGTATAAGTGCTGAAAGTTTTCATGCAGCTCCTCAGACAGAACTATACCACTCAACTGCAATGCTTTGGCACTTGACAAGTAGCAGATGGTCATTGGCATGCTTGGTCATTGGCATGCTTGGTCTCAATTATGGCATCTCCAGGATGCATTTGAAAATATATTCGAGTTGTAGAATTTTTAACAGCACAGAGAAAGACCCTTCAGCCCATCGTGTCCATGCCAGATGTCAAGCAGCTATCTATTTTCCAGCACTTGGTCCTGAGCCTATGGTGTTTCAAGTGCTCATCTAAGTACTACTTAATGGACTTGATGGTTCCTGCCTCTACTACCCTTTTAGGCAGCAAGTTCCAGGTAGCCACCACCCTTTTGTGAAACTTTTTTTTCATCCTCAAATTATGTCAAAACCTCCTGCTCCTAAAACTGTGTCCCCTTCCCTGGTTATTGACCCACCTTGGATGTGGGCACCATTGATAAGGCTGGTATTTGTTGCCCATCTCCAATTCCTCTTGAGAAGGTGAACTTTCTTGCACTGCTGCAGTCCATGTGATGATGGGACATCCGTGGTCTGCTTTAAGATTCTGATGCAGCAGCAGTGAATGAGCAGCAAGACATAGTTCAAGTCTGGATGGAATGTGATTTGCAGGGAGTTTAGTGTTCCTGTGTGTCTTATGTCCTCTTCCTTGTTTAGGCAAACCTTGAAAGGGAAGTTCTAGCTGCAGGCATTTGAACAATCTGTTAATTTACAATGGGCAAATCTTTGAGGGGAAACTATGTCACGACTATCTTGCAGCCCTGTGCAAAATGTCCTATTTTACATGTGGGGACACAGGCTGAATTGATCAAGCGTAGTTGTTTCTGTGCATCAGTGGAGATAGAACTGCACGTTGCCCAATGCAGTAGTCCTGCCTCATTTATAGCACAAAGTTGCCACGGAAATCTGGCCTGTCTCTGGCAGTAGCATTGTGACAATAAATGCAGCATTAGAGAATGAATCATTATTAATGGAGCTAGCACACTCCATGAATGTATAAATTGCTTTGAAATTTGACAAGCATTTCCCATGAAGTCTATTTCCTTTTCCACCCTGATTAGTGAACAATGTTAAGATTTCAACTGCATAAAGAAGTCAAGAAGGTCAGAATTTCCCTCATTAATAAACTCTCTGAATTATATCTACTGATCATCATCTCCTCGCAACCACTGGTTCAGAAATGCACAATACATATCAATGGAAAATGTTAACTTGATTGGATTGTTGTGAATAAGGAACAAATGTCTGAATTTGGCTCATATCCTTTCTTTAACTTCCCATTTCATCTTTTATTCCATAGCAGAAATCACTGCAACCATCTGCTCCCAGGCTTCTGCTAATGTTACATCTAAGGGTTGACTTTTAAGATCTTTTAACATCTAAGGGTTGTCCTCTTCCCTACCTGTTTGGAGATCCCTGGCCTCTGTTTGGCTCAGTGGGTGAAACCACATACCCTTGCTGTTAGGAATCCATTACCTTCAGCTCCACGGTAAAGTATGTGCCAGCCACACTTTGGAATAAGCATTTGTTTAGATAGCTCAGAAACCACACTGTACATTTTTTCATTGCATTTCCCTGTGAACTTCTGTGTGTTTCCTTGACCTTGTTAATGGCGTGAAAGTTGGTGCATTGAGGGTTCCTAGCTGGTACATTGTCTAAAGAACACAGCTTAGCTACTTTGCTATTGCCAAACATTAACGTTTTCCTTTACATATTTATTTCAGATCGTGCAGTGAAGCCACCTTTAGCTTGGAAGATCGACTTTGATTCGTAGAGGACGTTAGGATTGAATCTGTTTGCATGGCGTGGTTTAAGTTGCAGACGTTCATGTCGTTTTGCCTGCAGTTGGGCCTCATAGCAGTCATGCTGCTAATGCAGCCTCCTCATGTGGACGCAGATACAGCGGGCCCGACAAGTTCCCCCAAACAAAACAAATCCTGCGTGGGCAGCTATGAATGCAAGCAAGGTGTCATTCTGCCAATATGGTACCCGGAAGATCCATCCCTGGGGGATAAAATTGCCAGGGTTATCGTTTATTTTGTGGCACTGATCTACATGTTCTTGGGAGTCTCCATTATCGCCGACCGCTTTATGGCATCGATTGAAGTGATTACATCGCAGGAGAAGGAAATCACCATGAACAAGCCGAATGGAGAGACAACCACCACTCTGGTTCGCGTCTGGAATGACACTGTGTCTAACCTGACCCTCATGGCTCTGGGTTCATCGGCTCCAGAAATCATGCTTTCCCTGATCGAAGTGTGCGGCCATGGGTTTAAAGCTGGCGAGCTGGGCCCCAGTACAATCGTAGGCAGTGCCGCTTTTAACATGTTCATCATCATCGCCATCTGCGTCTACGCTATCCCCGATGGCGAAACGCGGAAAATTAAACATCTGCGCGTATTTTTTGTCACGGCAGCCTGGAGCATCTTCGCCTACATCTGGCTGTACATGATCCTCGCCGTCTTTTCCCCGGGTGTTGTGCAGGTCTGGGAAGGACTGGCCACCTTCCTGTTCTTCCCAGTTTGCGTCCTGCTGGCTTGGATCGCTGACCGGAGGCTCCTCTTCTACAAGTACATGCACAAGAAGTACCGCACCAACAAGAGCAGGGCTCTGGTCATCGAGACCGAAGGGGAGCCCCCTAAAGGCATCGAGATGGATGGCAAGCTGGTCAACTCGCATGTCCTGGACGGCATGCTGGTGGGTCTGGAAGGCAAAGAGGTGGACGAGTCTCGCAAGGAAATGATTCGCATCCTCAAGGAGCTGAAGCAAAAGTACCCGGAGAAAGAGCTGGACCAGCTGGTGGAGATAGCGAACTACTACGCCCTTTCCCATCAGCAGAAGAGCCGGGCCTTTTACCGCATCCAGGCCACCCGGATGATGACTGGAGCTGGCAACATCCTGAAAAAGCACGCAGCCGAGCAGGCCAAGAGGAGCGCCAGCATGCACGAGGTGAGGGCGGACACTCCCGAAGACCAGTGCTCCCAGGTCTACTTCGAGCCGTGCACCTACCAGTGCCTGGAGAACTGCGGGGCGGTCTCGCTCACCGTGGTCCGCAAAGGGGGCGACATCTCCAGGACCCTGGTGGTGGACTACAAGACCGAGGACGGCTCGGCCAATGCGGGCGCCGACTACGAGTTCAGCGAAGGGACGGTGGTTTTCAAATCGGGCGAGACGCAGAAGGAGATCACAGTCGGCATCATCGACGATGACATCTTCGAGGAAGATGAGCACTTCTTCGTGCGCCTGAGTAACATCAGGGTGCTGGAGCTGGAAGATGCCCTGGAGCCAAATAACGTGCCCTATCCCAAAGCTTTAATCGTTTCCCCGCTGATTGCAACAGTGACTATTTTAGACGATGACCACGCGGGCATCTTTACCTTTGAGAGCGATGTCGTCCGTGTGAGTGAGAGCATCGGGGTGATAGAGGTGAAGGTGCTAAGGACATCTGGGGCACGCGGGACAGTCATTGTTCCCTTTAGAACAATAGAAGGGACGGCCAAAGGGGGCGGAGAAGACTTTGAGGACACTTATGGAGAGCTGGAATTTAAAAATGATGAGACCCTGTAAGTAGTGCTCCTCTCCTTTCTCCTTGAATGTCTGTGTTGATGTGTCGTTGAAGAAGCAATTATTAAATACCTGTTTTTGTTCAAAATGCAGTCTTTGTGGTTCTGCTCATTCGGGATGAAAGAACCAACCAGTGCAATTCGGGGGAAAAACACACACACACATTTGAAAGGGTGCTTTACTATAAGCCATGTTGTGATTTAGTATTGACACACAGATGAGAGCTTACGTTTATACTCGAATGCATTAGCTTCATCCCTGGAGAGTCAGAAGCGTCACAACACAATTGTCTTTTTAAGCCCCAGAAAAATGTACAAGATTTGCAAAATGTTATGCAATTGGGCACTGACTGGTTCAGACATTGTTTCCCAAGTGTTGGCTTGCTGAGCATCAAAGATTGCAATGAAACCAAGGCCACTGGTTTAGGTACAGTACTGCTTACATGTTTGAATGTTGTTCAGCTGGTGGAATTCAGGGCAACTTTTCCAATTAGATTGTGTGTCAGTCTGCAACCTCCCTTCTATTATATTTATCGCCATGGACACTACATGTCGTCAGATCTCTCCCTAGGATCAAGTGCTGAAATCTGCTGATGACTGAGTAGCAGCCTGATTGCTCTTACAGGCCGTGGATCAAATCTCCAGTAAATGATCACAGTCACGTTCCTGCTGTAATATATGTGTGTGTTGTCTGTAAGGTCCTTCCGTATCAATAGATAAATCAGCATAATTCAATGGTTTGAAGTGTATGCATAAGATAGTTGCAATGTTCATGTACAAGTATCTGTAATCTTTTACGTTTATTTAAAACTTCATTTGCCTGAAGCACAAAAAAGGGCCTCATCCCCAGCATTGACTTGGTAGGTTTTTACTAACTGTACCCCTTTGGGGAATGATTCCCACATTGTGCCTGGATACCAAGGTACACAGAGTGCCATGGTCACAATAATCCAGCATTAATCACCAGAACCTGCAGTGACCAACAGCCCGGCTACGCTTGACCCTATTGTTTTCCTCCTGCTGCTACTATAATTACTTTAATTTACTTGTAACTCTGTTTAAATTAGTCAAAGTTCAATCAGTCGTAACCAAGTAGGATGCACCTATGTGGCTTAAATCTGTAGCTGGTCTTACATACCAAAAGCAGATCAAAACAGTAAAGAAACCAATTAAAAAGAAAGACCAAAAGCATTAAATCAGCCATTTGAAGAAAGGCTTATTTCCTGGCAATCCTTCTCTCTGTGATGTTTGAGAACATTCAGGCCCAGTCATGAATTAATTTCAATTGATTACACTGCGTGGCTGCACTGATTCAAGGAAGATTTTATGTTTGTGGGGTGATGCCTAAGAAATTTGCATCGGAACCTAAGTACACTTTACTACAGGGACGTACAGATTAGGAACATGAGTAGGCCAGCTCAGCCATTCAATGAGATAATTGCTGATCTGGTTTCCCTATAGCCGTGCACCCTTGTTGACTTTACCTTGCTCTGCCTTGAAAATACTCAAGGACTCCTCTTCTCCCACCTTTTCGGGAAGAGAGTTCCAAAGACTCATGACCCTCTTTGAGAAAAAAAAACAGCCTCAATGTCCCTGTTTTAAGTGGATGAGCCCTTATTTAAAATAATGACCTTAATTCTTGGCAAAAGGAAGCATCTTTCCCATGTAGACCTCAGAATCTTTTGTGTTCCAACCAAGCGCCTCTTACTCTTCATACTCTACAGACACAAACCTAGCCTATTCAACCTGTTGTCATAAGACAGCTAGCCCTCAAACAGTGCCCAGTCTGTTTGTGCTGTTTGTTCCTCTGAGTGGTACTCATAGGCTACAGGAGAATTACCTTAATAAAGATGAACAACTCTGGATCCTGTGGATATAATATTTTGATAAAGTGTTTAGACAATTTGAATGTAAGTATTTTTGTGATCCTCAGGAATCAAGTATTAAATATGCAAGTTTGTAAATCTTAGAAGTATTGCTTAACCACCAAACTTCCTCAGTGAGCTTGGACTGACAGCTACTGGGGCATGTGTACCCCTCGAGGGGTACAGTACAGTAGTACCTAGGTACACAGAGTGCCATGGTCACAATAATCCAATAATGTCTTTAGATGGTGCTTTCCTCTTAATTGTGCAATGGCAAGTTTTCAGGTGACATGTCCTATTTTATGCCCCGCACTGGAGTTCAGAGGCTTCCAAATACAGTTGCCTCTCAGGCCAAGGTGCTGCAACTCACTTTCTCAATTCTCCTCCAAACCACATGTTGCTTCTCTCCCTTTCTTGCTGCACAGCTGCAATGCAGTGCTGCAGAGGAACAACCTGTGATCGGTGCAGGAACATGAAAAACCAGTTGGTCTATTGGTGCTGTTGGCCTGTCACCTATCAGAGAGGGAGAGGGAGGGGTCTGCTGGGTTTGCATGTCAGTAGACCTGCTGGGGCAGGCACGCTCTGCCTGGCCAAGACCAACGCCCTGGTGGAACCATCTCGCAAAGGAGAAGTTGGGGAGGCAGTACAGTTGGGGAGAGGGGCTACTGAGTGGAAATTAAAAAAAAAATGATAATAGATCTTGTAACATGTTATTATGATGATTTATGTGATGTGTCATCATTAGATAGGTAGTTACTTCAGAAATTGCATGTAGGGGGTATGCAAATCGGAATTGGGGTACACAGGTACACAGCGCAAACGGTGTGGGAATCATTAGGCTTGCATGTGCTGCTGTGCTTTTCTGTTGCAGCTGCTAATTGTGTGGAGTCATAGGGCAAGACAGAGCAGCACTAGCTTAAAACTGTATCATTAGAGCTGGGGTCAGGAGGGATGTTTCCACAGACCTTCAGCCTTCTACCCTGCTAAAAGGCAGGACTCCATCTGGAGCACACTCCTTGCAATCCACCCCTCTCGCAGCTGAATCATGAAGATATTTCCATACTGTTATCATCCGCCTCTGAGAAAAACAGGACCAGGGAGTGATTCTGCTCTCAGTTGCTTGTCCTGCTGTCTCCTTAATAAATTACTTGATGTTTCCAGGAAGTGTTCATATGGGGATCATATCTATAAATAGCTTTTGCTGAATTAAATGCAGAAATGAATTCAGTGATGAATTGAATCAAAGATTATTCAAACATGCTAAGTGATAGGTATCGCAAATATTTAATTGCAATTATTCTTCATTGACAAGACAGTCACGTTTTTATGCATGGTCATGTAGTTAGTGTACATGTCAGAAAGCAAGCTGTGCAGACGGCTCAGTACACTGACTCTGATGAATCAATTGATGTGCCGTGTGGTTCTATTGCAGTAATATTGAATGTTATTAGCTCTGTTCTGTTGCAGTAATATTGAATGTTGTTAGCTGTGTGATCATAGTTTCATGCACTTCTGAATATCTTATCTTCAGATCAGCAACATTACAAGCATTTTATTTACATGGTGAAAAGCTGTTTAAGGCTTTTTTTTTTAAATCCAAGAGATGAATTCCTTGTTCAAGCAGTTGAAATTTTCTGCTGTTCAATATAGAGCAGCATTTTAAAATGATGGTTTCATTATTCTGGGTATTCTAAGTGTCATGATAACTTCAAGCAGGCCGGTGTGATATTGATTTTTACAGGAAGATTATACACCAGACTTAAAGATAAGTTCAACTTTTCACTGTACGTAACAGCATGGAGGGAGACCTAATTAGTACCTTTGCGAACGTTTAAAGAAAAGAGCCACATGTGAATAGAAGAAGATTTTTATTTGCAGTACAGGCCCTGAGTTAATAATGTCTAACCATTCTGCGCTAACTCACTCCTCCATCAATGGAAATTAAAACATTTTTAAAAGGACGCAAAAGCTGAAATTTGTGAATTGACAGTAAAAACAATATTTGTAGCTGTTAAAATAATTACAAGTTAAAATGGTGGAAGTTATTGAAAGAGGTATTAGACTGTGTAAATACATTTGAGTTTACCCAGATGTTTAGATTCTATTCAGTTACCAAAACCCTTTTGTTTTTGACTGCACCGGTGGGACATTAGTTCTCCATTAAAATAGGAAAATCTTCAGAGATAGTTCCACCTGGCATTGTCCACAATCTACATTATTGCAAAAGTGCATTTTATTTAATATTGCCTGAAGACATTGCTTGAGGGATTATTGAAAAAGGAATTTATTTCAAGATTTCTGGAGTAGTTTCTCGAAAGAAGTAATTGAAAGATCTCTGTGGACATTGGAATTTTTTTTAGTAAAGGTCTTCTGACAAATCACATGACTGGTGCTAACTGATTTCTTTGCATTAAACTCCACTGGGGCAGGTCTTGAACTTTGACTAGCTTGGAGATGTTCTTGTAAACAACCGAAGGGGAGACAGCTCAGATCTCCTCACTTGGGAGTTTGACAATTTGTCGCATTCCCATCTGGAACTGGAATCACTTGGGAAACCTCATATGGAGTCTGGTCATAACAAGTAGTTAATCTCCTACCAAAACAAACTTCGATTCAGACCCCATGTCAAAGGCAGCTAATCCTTTAATAGCCACGTTAAACTGCGAGTCAATCTGTGAACTCAGAAACTCCACAGCGATGACTGTAGCTTCTAAAAGGCAGACAGGTTTTCTTAACAGCATCATTATAGCCCTAGGGAAAATGTCAACAAAAGTTTTATTGAAACACCATGAAACCATGCTAATGGTCTTTTTTTCAAACCTGCGCCAGATGGCTTGTCAATCAACATGGTCCAAAAGAGACCTTTTCTAACTTGGCACTACCAGCAGCAGCCTTTTCTTTCAATGTTTAAAGGGTGGAGCATTTAAGAAACTTAATATTGTGGCACTCAAACTGAGCGTATCTGCCCCTCAAGGATGATTAAAATTGGAGGCTCTCGACTGAAGTGATTGCAGGCTGCTGGGCAAAATGCTAATCAGGCAGACCAAAGATGGAAAGATGGTAGTGTAGTGGTAACTTTACTAGACCAGGAATCCAGATGCCCAGGTTAATGCTTTGAGGTTATGGATTCAAATC